GTATTCAATATCATAAATAGAAGACAATTAAATACAATAAATTGGAATAACAATTTTCATCAAAACATCAACTGTTATTTTTTTTACATCCGTTTATTTGCTTTGAAAAATTGAACATTTTCCATAATATACATTTTTTTTATTAAGATTTGGTATAATGCTATAATATAAAATGCTATAATGTATAATGTATAATGCTAAGATGTATAATGTGTAATGCATTGTGGGACAGAATAAAAATGAGCAAAAATATAAAGAACTTAACTAAAGAAATATTTAGAGGCAAATATTTATTTATATTTTAATGCTATATATCAAAGTTTTCTTCAGGTCTGAAAATTTATTTTTATTAGCATAAAAATTAACATTTTTATAAATTGACTGATTGGTTATTATTACTTTTTTTTAAGATTATCACTTTTAAAATATAATTACTAGTCTACATATACAGCATATAATCAGGAGGACTAAGACTAGTTATTTAGCATTTCACCACTGTAATCATGATAAAATGAGTGTAAAGTGTTTTTTATTAACAAAGGTCAAAGTTGATATTTAAACTATCTGTGTTATTACCTGACTAGTTTTTATACCAATAAAGAATAAGAAGATAAAAACTTTTAAGAAGCGTTAAATAGATGTAATTACATATTGAATATTGAACAGAACTTAATATTGAAAGAGACATAAGTGCAAAAAATAATTATAGTAGCATAATTTTTTGTAAGAATTGTCGCGGTCTGATAATCACAAAAAAATTAGGGTTATTGATGTAAAACCTTTTTTAGGTTTTGTAAAAAAAATCTTTAAACATTGTTTAAAAACTTTTTTACTTCGAGATTTTTTAAACCACTCTTTGAAGAAGGTTGACAAAGGAAAGAAATAAATGAAAAAAATTAAAAATCTTAATTTTTAATTTTTTGAACATTTTACTTAAAAAAAAAAACTTAAAAAAATAAGATTTTTATAGCTGTATCTATTGTGCAATAAAACTTTAATGAAACCTTATAATAAACTATGATCCTATTAATGCACAATGGGGCCTAAGGACAAATCTGTCTGAAATTTCGCACACTTATTAAAAAGAACTAAGGACAAATCTGTCTGAAATTTTGCACACTTATCAAAAAGAGTTCAACTTTATTTAAAAAGTTTGATTTTTGTGAAAATTTTGAACTGAATTTTTGAAATTAAGAGCATGATGAGCAATTTTTTACAGCATTTGTGGGGCAGTGATCATAATTTCAGAACCAAAGAATGAACGTGGCTCTAAGAATATATGCAACATGGGTATGGAAGGTGGCATGAACTCACTGAATAAATACTAATTTTTGGTGCTCTGTGATAAAGCCATTAAATTTTCTTGGAGCAAAAAATTAAAAATACTTCAATAATTTTTTAAAATGAAAAAATTATTGAAGTATTTATGTTCAATAATTTTTTTATTTTTAACAATATTAATACAGTTTACATGAAATCTATATAATAATTTAAAAAAAGAGTATCATACACAATGTATTTTTATGAAATTGCAAGCCAGTAATATAAAAATGAAAGAGATATATGGCACTATTTTTTACTGAACAGAGCAATGCTGCAAAGATAATAATGTAATGAGTTGGTACATTACTACTGATTAATAATGTAATGATTGGTACATTACACCAATCCCATATGAAGCAGATTGTACTAGATTACATGTCATCTGTAACAAAGTGACCTGATGATAGTTATGTGCTTCGATCAGGATTGAAACCTTTGGATAACAAGTCCAACGCTATAATCACTGCCACTACAATCACTATTTGATTTTTTTATAGATAGTTATAACATAATCTTATCATTCATACATTTTAGAGTCTACATTTGTTTTGTACACATCATCATTTTCAAAATCATCCAAATCATTTTCACTATGAGAATCATCATCAGATTTTTTATTATTATTATTCATATTTAATATTAATAATCTTCTTACGCCAGATGGCATTTTATATTTTTTGTACTTTTGAATACTTAATTTTATTCTTGAATTTAAAAGAATTGGATCTGAAATATTCATTTCATGTATACATCAAAAAGATTGACAATGATCTTTTGAGCATGATTAATTCTATTTGATCTAAACGTTTATTTTTACTTTCTGAAGCTTTTTTCGCCAACATGCCAACAGGAACAATTAAATTGTTTATATGATTATGAGCTATGTATCAAAGGTAATGAGTCATAAGAATTTTTCTATATAATTGAACATATCAAGATGCTATTGAGAAGCCATTAAACTTGATTGGGTCAAATAAAAATTGATAAGAAATCATTGAATCAACTCCAAATTAATATCTAAAATTTCAGACAAGAGTCTGAAATTTTAGATATCAATTTGGATTTTTAAACATTTTTTTTTGCAACGTTTCCTGTACTACAGTATCATCGCTTGGTTTTATAATATCAATATGAATGTTAAGTTTGTTTTTGAATCAACATAGAATTTCAATTTTCTTTACTTCTACTTTGAGTTCATTTTCTTTGCCATGTGCTTGCCGCTGATTTTCAGGCAAAACAAGTTTGTGAGAAATGTTTAACATCACTTCAAAACAGCATATATGTATGTAAAGAACTTAATCCATATTGTAGAGGTACTGGGTTAACATTGAACACTTTTTATGTAAAGAAGTTCTTGTTTGCAGCTTTTATATGTCTTTTGGAGAACAATCACACACAGTACATTGTTGAAGATATCTTTGTGATAAATGCTTGAATCTTATCATCTATTAACATCAAACACAGCTTACATTCAACAAATAATTTATTTACAAACTTCGATGTAATCACAATCTTGTGGAGTTTCAATTTATTTATTAATTTTTTCCTTTAATTTAATGAGGAATTCTTTACTTTCTTTTGCAAATTTGATTTACTGCAAACAGCAAAATCTAGTAAATTGAGGAGTTTGATTAACCCATAAAATTTTTCCACAGCTTGTTTGCAATCTTAAAAGAACCATAGACTTAACAAGTAATGAACTATCATTAAAATTTTCAATGTTGTAGCCATAAAGAAACATTTATAAAACTATAAAATGATAAGTTGCTGATACTAACTTATAAGGTAGAAAAAACCGTCTTGAGTTTTAGCTGCAAATCTTAATTGATTATATTGACTTTTGAAAAAATTGGCATCAAAAAGAAATAATAATGCTTGTTCTGGAGATATTCTAACAACTTCAGAATTAATCTTCTTCAAATCAGCTGCCACATTTGATTTATTTGTTAGAGAAGATCTTTTTTATTACATTGTGAAGCAACATTTGCTCTTAAGTACATTTCAGTTTCTGGTTTGTTATTAGATATAAGATTTGCAACAACTTGACATTGGGACTTGACAGACATCTCCAAAAATAATATAGTTGGTCTTTCTCTTTTTTCTTTTTTTGAATTGGTTGGCTGACCCCCCGTAGGTACCCCCTGGCTGAGGGTCACATTTAATTTCTATTAGAGGTTCATATTTATTTTGAAACTCCATGGTAATTCCTGAACCTTACAGAAGAATTACCCTGTTTTTTCCAAAGTTTGTTGTATTGCTTTTTGATATTTTCTTTTTTCTGTGTTATTGTTTTTCTACTTCTATCTCTTTTAAAAGTCTTTTTTAAGTTTTTTTTCAAAATATAACAAGCATTTTTCGATAAAGATAAAGTTTATCATTTAAAAAAAAAAAAAAACTCAATTAAAACTTTCAAACTAAAAAATTAATAATCATACAATACAGGACAAACTAAGTTTATATTTGATTGATCTAAATTTATTGCATGTTAGATTTCCACCAATCAACAGTCACTAGCTTTTAAGTTATAAGCAAATAAAAAACACTTTAAATATTTTTATTGAAATAAATAAAAAATAAAATAACATATTATTGTATAATTTTATACATTTTTTTTATCATACCTTTCATCAATATGAAAATGTTGAATTTAGATTTAAAAAATACTAATAGTACAATTAACAATGTCTTTTTCAAAAATATTTTTACCACTCTTGAATTGAATTCATTTTTGACATTACAAAACTAATCCTACTTGAATTAGTTTTGGATTAGTTATAAAATTCATAATATCAGCATAAGTCTGGTATTCCCACTTTTATAACAACTTTCTTATCTTCATTATTTCTAATATTTCAATCTAAGGATTATAACTTATTTTCAAGTTCAACATGGTTACACAAATTATTTATTTTATAGATAATTGCTTTAATACAAAGAGTATTTCCTCCTATCGCAAGTTTTATTTTTGTACTGTCACCAACATATTTCTTTTAGTATGCAACAAACAATTCTGCTAGTAATATTTAAATTCTTATAAGTATTTAAGGCATGAAGATTTTGATGAGCCTTTATCTAAGTTTTTTTTGTTCTAAACATGTGACATGCTATATAACAGCATTTTTGAGCAAAATAAATGTTCTTTATTTTTAATGGAACCTTTTCAGTTTCTTCGTAGATGAACTTAATAAAATTAAGTTAAAGACTATTTCTAGTATTCTGTTCTAAGCATTAAAAGTTATTAAAACCTAATAATAGCTCAATAATTAATTTTTTTTGAAAATAATGTCTCATACTATTAGGTTCAAACTCAGTATTTAATGTCTTTTTTTCACAAATTAATTTTGTTGCTATATAATATACATATCAAAATATACAATGCATATTATGAAGTACTTTGTGATGATTTCTTTTGACTTCAAAAGAGCTTTGATGTGGCATTTATGCACTGTGAGGACTAAACATCTGGATCTCTACATCATACTTCAAGTTGTTTTGTGAGCTTCTGTCTACTTGTTTTTATGTCAACACTGATTTTGGAATTGACAAGTTCCCATAGATTTTCAATTGAGTAAATGTATGAAGAATTCACTGTGTAGTGAGATACCCTAACTGACAGAACTAATTTTGCAGTATAGTAAAACTTATAAAGACATTCCTAAAGGTATAAACTTTGGCTTCTTTAGTAGTTTCCTGCACTTGAATTTAAGCTTGTATTTTCTCTTTAAAAATTTAAGTAAAATATTGATATCTTGGTCTTCCAAAATGTTTTTTTCAGTTTTCTTGGTGGTACCTTACAATTCTGTTTTATAGCTGCCTTGATTTTTTTGTTTATTCTGGCACTTTTTTTTTTCAACTGCAGCAACCCATTCTCCCTGCTTTACTCAATGCCTAATTTGAAGTTAGAGTTTATCTTATTAGCCACACCTGTACTCTCCCTTGTCAAATTGTAGAGGATGAATAGTTAGGGGGAATAGGCAATGGTAAATATTTATAAATTGGGGTGCTCTAACTGTGCAAAAAGTAGGATGGAGCATAGGCATCAATCATGCCAGCTCTGTTGGTAAGATTTAAGTTTTACTCAAAAAGAATACATTATTTGATTTTTTTTTATATTAAATATTGAGAGTTTATAAGAATGTATGTATAATTAAAAACAATGCAATATAATTTATACCTAAAGTAATTATACTATCTTGATTCCTTATATTATGCAATTTTATTTTAATTATTATTATTATAGTTATTACTATTAGTATTATTATTTATATATATATATCTTTTATTTAAATTCAATGGTCTAAAAATTTAGAAATTACAGAATTTTTTACATTCATACATATATATGCACACATATTTTAGTAGTTAAATTTGTAGTTGCTTTGATTAACTAGTGTACAAGTTATGTTTCCCATCTCTTATAAGACGCAATGTTCTTTGGGTAAAACTATTTTTGTAAGCCATATTTGCAGTAGCTATCTTGAACCCGAAGTTGATATTTTGTCTTGTTGTTATTTTGGATTTATTTTTTGTCATTATGTTTAGCGGATGATTTGGATTTTGCAGAATATGCTTTAGGATTTTTATACATATATTGTCAATATATGTGTCAGTATTTTCAATGTCATTTTTTTTCTGGCGATTTATGGACTAATACCTATAGATTTTAGCATTTTTAGATGTATTTGCTGTATTTTATTTTGATACTGCTTGCACACAGTAATGGTGCACTATGGATCAAGTCCAATGCTTCGATATATTGTTATTAGTAATTCGCTGTGAAAACCTAGTTTTTTTAGACTTCTAATTAGGTACTGAGCTGAGGAGAATATGGGCTTGATGCGATGCCAGTGTTGGTTGGTGTTTATTTCAATATTTAAATCTAATCCTAGGTATTTATATGAGGTTACATATTTGAGAGCTTTGGAGTTGATGGAAACAATTGGTGGTGGGCATGTATCGAGTTTGTTACTAGGTATGCTTATGATTTTGTATTTTGTTGAGTTGAATAACATTTATTTATTAATGGACCAGCTATTAACTTTGTTGCATATTTTCTGTGGTAGGGTTGAGTGGGCTAGGTCTCCAACAATGTATGCAAGGATGTCATCAGCAAATTTGTAAAGTTCAGTATTGCAGTTAAATATATTCTTTATATTGAGTATGAAGAGTATAAAAAGAAAGGATCTGAGTGCACTGCCTTGGATGTCTCCAACTTCCACAGGTCGCCATTTTGTTGCTATGCTGTTGGTATAAACTTGCTGATATCTGGTCTGGAGGTACGATGCAATCCAGGTGATAAATCATTTAGGGAGGTATATTGTCAATTTGGTAAGAAGAAGCTTGTGATTAACTACGTCAAAGGCTTTAGCAAAGTCAAAGAATATTGCAACTAAGGTTTTCTTTTTGTCTTAAGCAAAATGCCAGTCTTCTATGACACATGCGATTGCATTCATTGTGCTTTTACCTGCTAGGAACCCATATTGTTTGTTATTTTCTAAGATGTTGTGAGATGTTGGATAATAAATTTGGCAACAACTCTTTCTAATGTCTTGCAGAGATGAGATGCGAATGAGATTGGACAAAGTCTGATCAGTTACTTGGGTTTGGTAATTTAGCAATAGGTGTTAAGCTTCCATTGATAAGGCGTAAATGAGTGAGAAAAACACTTGTTAAACAGAAGACTTAGAATATGGGAGATTTCAAGACGAACACATTTGAGTAGTTTGCAATTATACTATTATATTACTTTACTAATTCTAAATACCCTCAACTTTTAAGAACTTTAATCATATTATATCGTATATATAGTCTGAAAAATATTTTCATAGATATTTACAAATAGTAATTCTACTAATCTTAAGTAAACACCAAAAATATAGATCTTTACATATATAATTAGTAATAATTATAAGAATAATAATGATAATAATAAAAATGATATTTATAGTAACAAACATAAGCATCACAATAATAATAAAAAACAACAATAATAACAATTATAATAGTAATTATAACAACAATAATAATAAAGATAATGTCACTTGTTTTTATAAACACAACAGCTAAATATACATAAAAGTTAGTATGTTATTTAAATTGAAAATAAGAAAATAAATATAATAATAGTAAAATTAAAAATAATAATAATTGTGGTTGCAATAAATATTTAAAATTAAAAGAAATAATACTATAACAAAAATATGATAAAAATTAAAGATAAAATGAAGAAAAATAAAAAAGCATTAAAAAAAATGAGAACATATAGATACATATACAGATTTAAAAAGATATACATTTTTTAAATATCCAACCAACATAAAATTAAAAAAAAAAATTATACCCATGCAAACAATGCACTAAAACATATAACAATATGATACTAACTATACACTACAATGCCCAATGAACAATACACAAGAATACAAAAACAACAACAAAAGCAACAAAAAAAAAAAAAAACCCTCAAAATTAATAAAATTTAAAAAATGTTGTTTTTTGTTTCTTCAAAAACTGAGCAATTTTTATATTTTATTTTAATTCTTTTTAATTACTTTCCATTTTCGAATCAGAATTGATTGTCTTAAAGATTGAACAACTTAACTAACTTTAGTTTATTAATCAGCCATATTCAGTTATCAGCCATATTATTCAGAACAATTAAAACAATAATAAAAATACAAATTTGCACCCCAATCAAATCTTATGTCTGTATATAAAATAAAAAAAGTAAAAGAATCTATTGTATTGTTTACTAGTTTTTTGAGGGAGAAGTTAATTGTTAGGGAGGGTGGGTGTTTGATTTTTTTTTATTGGAAGGTTAGTAATTAACAGAAATTGAAAATATTTTTTTTAAAAAAAACTGAAATTCCCCTATATTTAGGGAAAATATGAAGTTGAATAAAAACTAGTTTTTTAAGTCTAATTCTACAATTTTTTTAAAAAAAGTATTCAAGTATTTGAGCATTAAAAAAAAATTAAAAAAATTAAAAATTTATGCAATTTTAAAAAATTAAAAATTTATGCAATTTTATAATTTATAAAGCTCACTAAAATGTTAAACTTTTGATTTTGGAAAGATTTCTATGAACCTAAAGACAATGTTTCAAACAGAAATTATAGCAATTTTAAATTCAAAAATAAACTGAATTACAATTTAAAAAATAAAAAATACTTATTGTAACTTTTTAAAAAAAAAAAAAAATCAAATTAATATAAAAACTATTCTAGAAACTCAAATTTTCACCTGTTTTCATAATTTCCCAGTTGCAATCAACTTGCATTTCCACTTGCGTAAAGTATCTGCCATCAACCCATATTGAACTTTTGTCTAATGTAATGACTGCTGTTCCTAAATTATTAAACATATTCAAGTTAAATGCTAGTTATTAAATTATTAATCATTATTACATTTTAATTATAAAACTGCACTGCATGACTGCCAAATTTTGACTTATTTAAGGTAACCATTACCCTTGTATATTACACTGACACAATACCTTTTATGCTTAATTAAAATTTGATGCAAAACAATCTTTATTAAAAAGTATTGAATAACCTAACAGTTTTAAGGCTTAAATTCATGGAATAAAACTTAAATTTATGGAATGATTTGTTGTTCCATTGTTCAACAGGAAAATTGTGTAAAATAAAACTGATAGAAAACCCTCCTTAAGATAATACTTTATCAAGAAGCTTAATTTAAAAAAAATTCCCATTTTTATAGAATACATTCCTAATTCCCACCATGTCCCTGGTAGTACCGCGCTCAACTTGTTTACTAAATAAGTATTATCAATAAATTTTTTAGTAGTCCTCTAATGTATCATTATATTTTCTATCAAATTGTTTATTGTCAAGGTTAATTTTGAAATGTTAACAATAAAGAAAAACTTACAAAAAAAAACCTTTTTCTATTGTTACAGCCAAACTCATTGAAAAATCAAAATGTTTATTTACAATTTAATACACATGAGTGTGGAATATTTATTCAATTATTGAAAAATTATTCAACTCAATGTTGCATTATTCAACTCAATGTTACATTATTCAACTCAATGTTGAGTTATTTAACTCACATTATGATAATTAAAAATAAACTTCCATAATTTCACATTATGGAAGTTTCGTTAACAAACACAAAATTAAGTATAAGTGTTTAAAAATGAACAATCAGCCTGGTAATGTTTTATCTTTTCATTGCTTTTTAAATTTGGTCATTTGTAGTTAGCTGTTGCAACACTAACTACTGGTCATCTGTTTTATACAGAAAGTCAAAAATAATTGCATTTAAAATTAAATAAAAAAAGGTTATATAAGTGATAAACACAGATAATTATTCATTGGAACTAAAGTCAAGCAAAATGAATAAAATCAACTGTTAAAACAAACAAACAAAAAAACCAAACTACCAATTACATATTTAACATGTCACAATGACCAAAATCATAAGATATCTGCAGAATAATACTTTTTGTTACAACACTCAGAAAGATACAGCTTATGATGGTATTAGAGGCTCTGATAAGTAACTTGTAATAAGGATAAGTTTACAATCACAAATAGATCAACTGGGAAATTGTATGATTAATGTCATAAAAATATCAAAGGAATACATTTTCTATACATTTCAAATGATGCAACTATATTATGTTGCATATATTTTAAATTAGAATTACTAGGAATTAATTTAACATGTAATAATGATACAAAATAATTTTTGGGCAACATTTAGAAAATATCTAAAGAAAATCAAGATATCCTGGTTAATATAATGAAGTAATCTATTTACTCAAACATTTTTTCTGGATTCTAATATCACACAAAATTATACAAAATTTTATACTTAAAGGTTCAATCAGCAACAGGTAAATGCTTTGAACTATCAAATAAACATAAATAATTTTTGGGCATACAACTAATACATCTGTACAATAGCATAAGTAATAAAACAATTATACAACAAAGAAGTATAACAAACTTATGAACTGTTAAAAACTTTTTTAAACTTTTCATTTAATTATTGAATTTAGATTTCAAAATTTTATTTTTATGATTCAATGTTTATTTTAATAATATTATATAATTATAGTATATAATAATGTATATAATAGTATGAACAAGATAATTACTTTTTAGCAATGCCTTGTTGCACAAAACAATTAATTGCTTTCATTTAGGTCAGATTTTTTCTAGAAACTTTATATTATAGAATTTTATGTCGGCATAAAAATATAAAGTTTAAATTGTCTTAGCCTGACACAGAAATATAGAATTTAGCTTTTGATGTCATGCCAATGCAAAGGCAGGTAGTTTTTTCTTTAGTATTGTTAAATGTTGACATGAATTTTAAGAGCTTTTTTATAAATCAACAAAGATTACAACTGTAATTAATTAGATAAAACAAAAGTTTAATATGATACAAGTTGAATAAATACAAATACAAATAAAATCAAAAAATGCACACCAGCAGATCCAGAAAATCCTGAAATAAATTCTCGTCTTTCAAACCAGGGTGCGACATATTCCGTCTTAAAAATCAATTCAAATATATATATAATAAATTTCCTTTAAAAAATTAAATAAAAAAGCAAAATTATGCAATTATTTAGAATAATTAAATTCTTAAAAAGTTAATTTCAAGCAAAAAGTGAACATATATACCACCCACCTTTCAAATTTTCTTTAAAATTATCCAGTGGTACTTTTCATCAAATGACAAAAAAATACCAAATTTAAGCACTTGACTCCAAGTGGTTTAAAAATTATTATGTTGTAAAATTCAGCCTAAAATGCTGTAATTTAACATTATGGATTTTGTAGTTTTAAATGAATAATTAAAATAAGTTCTATCTGAAGAATAAAAATTGGTAACTAACCATATTGGTTGCTGAATCCAAAAATATGACTAAAACTTGGTAACTAACCATTTTGGTTGCTGAATCCAAAAATATGACTAAAACTTGGTAACTAACCATATTGATTGCTGAATCCAAAAATATGACTAAAACTTGGTAACTAATCATATTGGTTGCTGAATCCAAAAATATGACTAAAACTTGGTAGCTAACCATATTGGTTGCTGAATCCAAAAATATGACTAAAACTTGGTAACTAACCATATTGGTTGCTAAATTCAAAAATTTAGGGAAGATAAGCCTATTTAGAATACTTGACGGTCATTTTTAGTATAGTAAAATTTTATTCTAAAGTATAGGGCCAAGGATATAACTTTGAGAAACCCCTGAAGTTACAGGATATGAGGAAGAGCGTTGTCCATCGAACACAACTTTTATACTACGATTAGTAAGGAAGGATTCGATAATCTTAAAGATGTTACTTGATATACCATAAGAGGAGAGCTTACGGAAAAGACCAACATGCCAAACTTTATCAAAAGTTTTAGAAATGAGAGTGATAGGTTTTAGGTTTGGTAGTGATAGCTTAGTGATAGCTTTGCTGATAGGTTTTAGGTTGGATGTAAAACTTCGAACTTGCTGCTTTTTAAAGTTTTTCTTTCATACATTTTAACAAGAAAGTCTAAATTATAAGCATTGTTTAAAATCACCTTTAAAACTTCAATATTGTTCAGTACAATTAAATTGGATGACAACCAGAACAGCTGCAACTTCCTTTATCTTTCTTTTTCTAAGTGAAAACTTGTTAGAGGTTTTACATAAATGAACTTTAAAGGATACCTAAATTTTTAATTTTCAGAAGTTAAAAATTTAGGTGTAAGAATTAGGAAAAGTTAAAGCTGTAAGAATTAGGAAAAGCTGGCTGTAAAGAAACTATTTGTTGTACTTCTTAACACTTTTCATAGCCAAAAATATCTTTAAAAGATCCATTATTGTCAGACAAGATTTACTTTCTAATTCGTTTCCAACAGAGCAAATGTTTTAACCATTTTAAAATTAAAAAACTCTCATCAAAAATTTTCAATTTAGTTATTTTTCTATTCATCTTAGAATTCAGCAGCTTAAAAAAGTAATCAGATATCAGTTTTCAAGCATTTTTTCCCACCAATACCTAAACTATTCATAAAAAGTTAAGTTATAAAGTCTATAATGGAGAATGTGAGCCTGTAAGAATGAACATTTCAAATTTTTTTGTCAAAATTTCAAAATATCATGTCTTTAGTATGCTTTTAAAGCCCAAAAGCATATTTTAAATTAGGCGCGAAATTTCTTCATTTATTTGAAAGAAATTTTGAATCCATGAAAATTGGAAGTAGGTCATTTTAAAATGGTGAAGACAATTTTGTCTTGACCATTTTAAAACCAAAAACTAATCTAAAACTTTAAACTGATTTTCTTTTCATCTTGGAATTCAAAACTCTCAAAAATGATCACTTACTGATTTTTATCCAGATTCTTCCTCTAGAAGTTAAATTATACATGAAATGGAATCACCACAGAATATGGCTTGGCAAAAATCAGAAAATTTCAAAAACGGGGTTTAGGTTTTTTTAAATTGTAAAACTGGGTAACCAGTTTTACACCAGTTTTTCTATAATAAAATCAAATATTAATTTAAATAATATTATTGATGTATAAATTCAGAGTAACCTACAGAATTTGATATTCTAAAATTAGATCTATAAACTAAAAAAAATTTTCATTTCAACGTAAAATTATTATTTTTTATTAATTATTAAACATTAATTTTTATCAATATAAAGTAGCATTAATTTCTAAAAATATACTACAATGACTTTTATATTACCTTCAATATTGAAGGTAATATAAAAGTCAAAATTAAAAAACCGATTTAATTAATACCAAATTTGTTTTTGTTGTTTAATTACTTTAATTTGAGATTTGTTATTTAATAACCTCAAATTAAATTAATTAAACAACAGTAAGAAAAAATGAAATAACAAATGAAATGAAACAACAACTAATAAAAATAATTGCTGAAGGATTTTGTCAGTATGTAATCTAATAATAATTGGTAAAAAAAAAATATTGAAATAAATAGAACCAAATGCAATATCAAATTGCTTTTTAGAAATATATATTTTTACAAATGTAATTTCCGCATTACTTGTTAGTTTGTAGAAGCAAGAAGTCTTTGAACTATTTATCTATTTATTAATGTATAATTTTATGGTTTTAGTTTTATGGTTTTTTGTTGAACAAAAAACCAGTTAATTGGTTGCAGTTTCCATCAGTTGGCAAACCCTACTACAAAACCCATAATGATAGATGTGGGCAAAAAATAGAGCATTTTAGGGTGAATTTCAAAACGCCATATCTTTAAACCATTTGAATTTAGGAAATGCAACTTTACATTTTTTACATGTTTCATTTATAGATACCTTTTTTTAAAATTTGAAAAAAACTATTGTTGACTTTGAAACTTTTTTTTTTAATCTACTTTTACATGATGTCATTTAATAACAATTCATTAGCAAATAGTTAAATGAAAAATTACTTGCCTTATAAATTATAATTTTCTACACGATCTTAATTTTAATTATGATTCTAATAATTGTAAAGGAACTTCACAACTGATTAGTACTTAATATATTGTTGAGAACTAAACATTGTTACAAGTGAAATAATAATTTAAAGCAAACTGATTAAAATCAAGAAATAGAGCTAATCTTTTTCTGTAAAGAAAATCCACCCAACAAATAAATGATATCTCTCTAACAAAACTCAAATATCCCAATTCTATCCCAATAAAATTTTTTTATAAAAATAAAATTTAAATCATAATGTAATCAAAAGATTAGAAATATGAATAATTAATCAGATTATAAAGACTAGATAAAGCAACTACACAAACTACTAGATTTAGGAAAGCTACACCTACAAAAATAATTTAAAAAATTATGTATAGAATATTCTAGTAAATCAGTCTTGAAGTTTTCTGATTTATTAAACTTTTTTTTTTTTTTGAATATTTGCTAAAACAATTTCTTTTAAATTTAAAAAATCCAATTAAAAGTAAAAAAATATAAATATCATACTAATGCAACAAATTGTTAAAAAATACCTTAAAAAAGAAATTCAATTTAAAATTTTATTTTAAAGTAAAACTTATATCTTATTTAGGTTTAAAATATTCAAAAATAAATAATAATAATATTAATAATAATAATAATAATAATAATAATAATAATAATAATAATAATAATAATAATAATAATATTAAAACCTGGTGATCATCAGAGCTTGGCACAATATAACCATGAATACCATTATCTGACATAAGTTTGCGCAAGTCTATTAACAACTGGGTTGTATTTTTTACCGTTCGGGGATAGGGACCCTAAAAATAAGTTTTAAAGTTAAACAATGTTAAAAAGAAGGAAGAATAAAAAAAAAAAGAAAAGCAAAAAATCAAAGAATTAAAATTTGAATGTGATGAATAAACAGAGCAGAGAAAATAAAGTGATGAATAAACAGAGCATGTAGAACTAAGAAAATGAAAATATTAAAACAAAAAAAAAGATTCAAAAAGTGAAATTAAACAAAAGACAAAAAATGCAAGCCATGAATAATGAAAAATGAAGGGTTGAGAGAGTTAAAAAAAATTTGATTATGGAATTTATTTCAAAAAATTATACTTTATGAAAGCAATAGCTTAAAAAAAAAAGTAAACACAATTTAAAAATTACCAAAGGTTGTCCATTTTCGCAAATCCTTTCACAAGAGCAAAATTCATAAAAAACTAAAAAGTAAAATAATGTAACAAAAATATGCAATTATAAATACACAGAATGAAAAAATATTGGTTATACTAATATATCTTTAAAATATTAAAAGCTTAGAAAAATTATTAAAACAGACTTTTATAAGTAATTACTTTATAAGTAAATAAATATTATATTCACGGTTGACACTGTTATTTAGGAACAAAATTCCCTGATTTTCCCTGATTTTTTTGCTAAAAATTTTCTTTTTTCTCGCTGATATTCCCTGATTTTTTGTCAAAATTTTGCTTTTTTTCTCCTGATTTTTCCCTTGAATTTTGCTTGATATTTCCAGCATTCAAATGCCCAAACTTAACATTAAAACTTCCCTAATAACCCCAGAACATTTTTACCTCTAAAAAAACAGATACTATAATCCCCCAATAAGTAATAAACCAATCAATTTGCTTGAAAATTAAAATAAATAATCAAATACTTCAATCAACATATGAAATTTTTCTTTGAACCAGGTTATATTTAAAATAGATATGTTCAACAGGCATTGAAAACCTGTCAGACTTATCTAGAGTACAAGATAACGAAATTCAAAAAAATGTAATGAATGTAATAAATTTCTAATTGTATGTTTTACATACACCGTTTAATACTTTTTGCTATTCTTTCTAATATTTCCTGATCTAAAAGCATTATCACGCTATTTTCTTTTGCTTAAAGTTTTCTATTTTCCTCCAAATAGTTTTAACATTGTAATAAGGCACTACAAACAGCATTTATCATTTCATTGTTTATTTCTATTTTGTGAGCCTTCAATTTGTTTGGCACCTTAAAATCCTTGATAATGTGACAAGATATAACTGACATTCCTTTCATTTTTTTACTGAGCATATTACTGGTAATACTGAAACCTCTCTTAGTTGATACTTATCCATGACATAATGTAAAAATAAATATCAAAACTTTTGACAAAACCTTATAATCTACACTAACTTTAATTGTTTCAAAATAAAACTTGTTTAAACAATTTCCAGTGTGAAAATATTTGAATGCAAGTCAAAGAGTAGATGAACTTTTCTCTAACAACTTTTAAAATTGTATGAAAGCTTGATCACATTCATTTGAAGTAATATGTAGTACAGATTTCATCAAATGAAGATTAGCTTTTTGTTTAGAAAGATTTGACACTGGACTGATGCAAGCAGTGGCTTCCAGAAAAGAAAATTGATTCAAACTTCATTCTAATATTTTTTCCAGAATTCCAATGATAATGAGACGGTAATTTTTTATGAATCTATGATGACATCCTAAGATAATGCATTCTTTTTCCTCAATTCGATAATGTCATGTTCTGCAGCAAATCCAATTATCATTAATTTTAATAGCAGAAAGTTTTTCTTTTTTGTAAAATCATATTATTGAAGTTTCCTGCCATTAACGATGCTAAGGACATCTTGTTTTATAATTAAACCCATTAAACTTTTAACAGTTGAGAACAAATCTTAAAAAAGAAAGGGAATCATTTGGGCATTGGTTTGATACCTCAGTAAGATTTTCTGCAACAAACTTGCACCAAAAAACTTCAATTTAGTCAGAATTAAATTTCTTTTGTTCCCCCGAACCAGAGTTGTTAGTCCTTGACCTGAAAATTTTGGCCTTGGCATTAATTGTTTTGACCTTGGCCTTGTAACTTTTGGTTTTGATATTGGCCTTGGTCTTAATACTTTTGGCCTTGTTAACAACTCTGCCCCAAACACTTTTCATAGCTCTTTTATTTTGGTTGCCTACTTTTAGAAAGAGTCTCCCAATACTCTGTTATTTTTAAGTCTATTGGCAACATTTTGGTCTACAACCTAACGTGTTGAGCTAAATGCACAAGGAAAACTCTCACATTTAGTAACAGTTACATAATCAGCTCTTCTAGCGGAAGAATCATAAAAAAGGTTGTATGATGCTTTCATTAACTTCTTCATATTCCATTCAGGAGATTGAAAACCCGATTTGAAACCATGTATTAGATGAAGGTTACAGCTTCCAACAATAAGAAGTTTAGGTAGCTCTTGTTGACCATACTGCATTTCAAGAAGATTAAGAAGGGACCGGTTCACATTTGTACCTTCCATACTTAGTTGAGTCATACTTTTAAGTCAATTCTTTGCTGTGGGGTGACCTAAAAATCAGTCAAAGTATCTGGATTCAACACGATTTAGATTGCTGCTCCAAAACTGAATATTTAGATTAAAATTGGACATTTTAAAAAGAGTCGTTCAGGCTTTCATCAAATGAAAGATAATAAGAATATTTTTTTATATTTTCAGTTAAAAATCTGTAAAAGACCCATTACCAAAATTAATTATATAACCAAGTTTTGTTCCTCATTTCATAAGATTTAGCAATATTGCTATCAGGGATTATTTTCTGATAAAGTAGGCATTTTCATTACATGAGTTCAATGAGAAATTATTCTGTATTGCATTTAAAACAGAGTAGATTTCTGTACAAATTTTATCACATTAATCTACTATTTGAAATGCTTGCTTTTTAAAAGCATCTAAAATTTTAGATGTGGACTGTGCAGGCATGAAGAAGCAAGATACTGGCTTTGACTTTGGTGCATGTTTTTTGCCATCCATATGACTTAACACAGCTTTTCTGCATATTTGACAAATTAAATTCAACTAGGCAAATTTTGCACTTGGCTGACTTTTTTACACTGCCTATTACCAGCCATTTTTCAAACAAAGGATCACTTAACCATTTTCCTTTGAATTACGTTGCAAACATTAAATTAATGTAAACACAATATGATTAATTTTTTTTAAAAATGTTGAACATTAACTCTGGTACCCTTAAAAAAGATTTTTATTAGAAAAAATTAAAAAAAATTAAAGAAATATTAAAAAGTTCCAGCCCTGGTGGTAAAAAGGTGGCAACCCTGTATATTGTTTATATTTATTTGTTTATTTTTGTATGTACGTGTGCCATATTGTATATACGTGTGCCAAGTAGTTAAATAAAAAAATGTTGTATACACATTGACAATGAGTAGGCAATTGTTTCAATAGCATACACATTGTCATGTTATGCCACTGTTATGATGGCATACAAGGCATTATTATTGTTTAGATAAGATACAGATATAAAAGATATAGTTCTTTTTAGCTGACATGTCTTTTAGCTGTCTGTTGATTTTAAATATATTAAAAGACTATTCAAAATAAAAAGGCAACTGTTATGTTATTATAAATATATGCTTTAATATTATTTACATTAACATTAACTATTATAAACATTAGTAAAGAAATTACAAATGATTATTCTGAAGCTGTATAATTTTAAAATTTGTTTTCATTTTTTTTGTTTCTAAATATCTAAAGTAGTCTTACAATTTTCTCGTGCATTTTAAATTCAATATTTTGTTGATTTGATTTGTCCAGAGCCACGTGGTACGTTAGAATTCCTGAGAAAACAGTAATTTAGTAAATTAATGTTATGTCACTAAATGGAAACCCCGAATTGTAAATAGAAAATTCCGGTTTGAAACTTAAATTAGTTAATTAAGCATTCATATTTACAAGAAGCTCCGTAAAGCATTTCGCAAGCATGTTAACTTGTCCTTTCCAAAAAATAATTTAATCAATTAACAAAAAAAAGCACACTGCCTTGTCTTTTTAAATTCTCAAAAATCAGAATTTTGGTCGGGCCAAATTTATTATTTCCTGCGACATAGATGTGTCGAATATTTATGCATGTAACCATATATTTAAAGTAAGGGATTTCCATGAAGAATTAGCTCAGCCTCGTTATAAGCAACTACAAATAGTTATTCAGGCCAAGAAATTCAGAATGTATTTCACGAGGTATTGAAATTATCCGTTTGTATTGAAATTATCTGTACGATTGTTTTGGATATTGTCTCACCCCTCTACATGCCTCTTTTGCAATGCCGACAGTCATTTGTTAAACAACAACAACAACAACAACAACAAAAAAAAAAACAATAAACCGCAAAAAAGCTTATTAATGTTAACCCTGACGGGTAATAACCCTATTTATATATATATATATATATATATATATATATATATATATATATATATATATATATATATATATATATATATATATATATTTGTATGTATTTAGATGCTCCCAGAAGTCCTTACGGTCTTGTCATTGAGCACCGCGGGAGAGCATTTAACGGGAAGTTCACGCCGTCTTCCTTACCAATGCCGCTTATTGGGCTGGAGCTGGCGTCGAACCCCGGACCTCTGGGTTCTGAGCCAGAACTCTAACCACTGCGCCACGGCTGCTTGAATATATATATATATATATATATATATATATATATATATATATATATATATATATATATATATATATATATATATATATATATATATATATATATATATATATATGTATATATATATATATATATATATATATATATATATATATATATATATATATATATATATATATATATATATATGTATATATATATATATATATATATATATATATATATATATATATACATATATATATATATATATATATATATATATATATATATATATATATATATATATATATATGTATATATATATATATATATATATATATATATATATATTATATATATATGTATATATATATATATACATATATATATATATATTTATATATATATATATATATATATATATATATATATATATATATATATATGTATATATATATATATATATATATATATATATATATATATATATATATATATATATATGTATATATATATATATATATATATATATATATATATATATATATATATATATATATATATATATGTATATATATATATATAGGGCCGCTGAGACCTTTTATGGCACCCGAGGCATAGCGTCGAGTAGGCGCCCCCTTAAACATGCATGATTAAAAAAGTAATTTGGAAGCATATGTAATCATGCAAATACAGTACACATGTGTGACACTTATGGCATCCAATAGGAAATTG